TTAGGGATTATCATTCACAACCTGATATTATATGTGTCCAGGAAACGTGGCTAAAACCTAACCATGATTTTGTCATCCCGGGCTATGCAACCGTCCGTAAAGATAGAGTGAGCAGGCCTGGTGGTGGATGCGCCACATTTATTAGAACAGGTATCCAGTATAAAAGTTATGAGTGGGAGGGGTCTATTGAGTGTGTGATAATTGAGGTATGGTGTAATGAGGGTAACTTATTTTTGATTAATTGTTATAACCCATGTAAGCCTTTGATTTTAACTGAACTAGAGGATATCTTTAGCAAGACTGGGCCGTCTGTGATTTGGGTAGGGTATTTCAATGCCCATAATCCGTTATGGGGTAGCCAAGAAAAGGATGCTAATGGAGCTGTTATTGAAGAATTTTTAGATATTGTAAACTTAATTGTTATGAATGGAAGTGTGCCAACTCGGTTTGATTTTAAATCAGGTAAGGGATCATATTTAGACATCGCTTTCACTTCTCCAGGATTAGCCCGGGTATGGGACTTAGAAGTGTTGGAGGAGGATTTAGGAAGTGATCATTTTCCTGTTCTTTGCCATTTTGGTAGGACTGCTTGTGTGGATACTGGAGGAGGAATAGCTAGATTTAATTACATTCTGGCTGACTGGCGCAAGTTTAGTGAGGGTACAGCAGCCGGTCTAGAAGGCATTGATAGTGATGGGCCAATTGATGTAATGTGTGAATCTTGAGTAGCAATGATAATGAATGTTGCATCTGAAACAATTCCTTATCGTAAAAATGCTGGTAATTGTGTTCTAGTTCCCTGGTGGAATCAAGAGTGTGATAATGCAGTGAAAAAAAGGAATCAGGCTTATTCTAAAGCACGTAAATATCCCACACAAGAAAATGTTATTGAGTATAAGAGGTGTAGGGCAATAGCTAAGAAAACAATAAAATCAGAAAGGAAAAAAAGTTGGAGACAGTTCTGTAGCACATTAGGGCCAGAGACCCCAGTTCAGCATTTGTGGAGACGGATCCACCGTATGTCTGGTAAATTAGTGAGCCCTTGCATGCCAGTACTCTGTGATGGGCAGGTTGAAGCAACTAATAGTAAAGAAAAGGCAGACATGTGTGTTAAAAGTATTTCAAGATGTTCATAACTCGAGGTTTTTATCAGAAGAAATGATTAGATTACGTGAGGACTTGTTGTCAAAGAATAGGTTTAAGTTGACAGGAGAAACTGAGTCAGATAAGCCATATAACCTGTTCTTTTCCATGAGAGAGCTGGAGGATGCTGTCCAGGCAGGAGCTAACACGACTCCAGGGAAAGATGGAATCAGCTATAAGTTTTTACAACACCTGGATGAAGGTACATTGCATGAGATTCTTGTCTTATTTAACTACATCTGGGAGGAGGGCGTGTTACCAAGGGCTTGGAAGCATGCTGTCATCGTGCCTATTGTGAAGCCAGGAAAGGATCCGTCCTCTCCGTCATCGTACAGGCCAAAAGCTTTGACATCTGTGTTGTGTAAGGTGATGGAGAGGATGGTCACTAATAGACTCGTTTATTTTTTGGAAACCACAGGGTTTTTTGTCAAGTATCAAAATGGTTTTAGAAGAGGAAGAAGTACAATTGAATCAGTGGCGGTTTTAGACCGAGATGTCAGGAGAGCTATTATTAAAAATGAAGCTGTTCTAGCTGTGTTTTTAGATATAGAAAAGGCATATGACAGTATGTGGAGAGAGGGCTTACTTCTTAAGTTATATGATGCTGGGGTGCATGGAAGGTTGTTCCGTTGGGTCAAAAACTTCCTTAGTGATAGATCAATCCAGGTGAGAATTCAAAATGTATTGTCAGGTGCTGTAGAGGTAGCCAATGGAACACCACAAGGAGCAGTGATTAGCCCAGTATTGTTTTTTTTTATTTTTTTTTTTTAATAATCTTTAATACATTAAAACCTTACAAAGATTGAATTGAAAAGAAACCCGTTACATTTCCATGGTCACATGACCGTTGGAATTAAATGCCCCCTCCCACCCCAGAGTCTAATTATGAGGAAAGTTTTCAAACAGTTCATCCCTGAGCCTCACCCTGAGGTGCTCCTTGAATTCACCCAAAGTTTCACTAGAGACACAGTCAGAGTCCAGCATGTTCCACATTCTGGTGGCCAGAGTGAGACACGATCTCTGCATGATATGGGCGCTGGGCAGTGTCCCGTCCGGAAAAGCACAGCTGACCCAGCGCACATGGTATGGCAGGACCCTTTGTGTGGGTCGGTATGGTCCCAGCGCCGCAGGCGAGAGTCCATGGAACAGTTTAAAACCAAAACATGCAAGAGCAAAGTTCCGCCTTGTTTGCAAAGTTGTTAGTCCGAGCGCTCTGTAATGCTCTGCTGTCAACTGGGCACGATACAGCAGATTTAGAATAATGCGCATGCATCTTCGTTGGATGCTCTCTAAACAGTTTATCAGAGTCTTTCCTATGCCACAGATCAGCACTGAGCAGTACTCTAGTCGGGATCTAATGTATGCTTTATAGATCCGAAGCAGGATTTCTTTACTTTGTGGTGGTAGCTTTGATTTTAAGAGCCTCAACACAAACATTTCCTTTCTAGCCCCTTTACACAAGTCCTCAACATATCGCTTCAATTTCAAATCACTGCTGATTGTTATCCCCAAGTGCTTTGTCTCACTTGAGAAGGAGATGTTGTGGCCCTCAAACATGACTTGACCATCTATTTGTTTATTAACTGGCGCTTTAGCAAAGCACAAGCATACAGTTTTTGAAGGGTTGAATTTCATACCCCAGGTGTTGGCCCAACTGCTTGCAGCAGCCAATGCACAGTTCAAACCTGCAGCCGTGAGGGCTGGATATGCACTAGTGACAGTTAGTAAATTGTTTAACATAATGATTAATAATATTTTTGAAGGAGTGGATTACAGATTTGGTAAATCTCTCTTTGCTGACGACGGTGCAATTTGGAAGAGCGGGAGGAACCTCAATCATTTGTTCTCTCAAACACAGAAAGCTTTAGATCAAATTATTCAGTGGGCAAATTGTTGGGGGTTCAAGTTGTCAATTGACAAAAGTAAATTCATGATTTTTGGGTTGAAGAAAAACATTCCCTCTTGTAATCTCTACATGTATGGATCAGTTATTGAAAAGGTTAAAAAGTTTAAATTCTTGGGGCTGTGGTTTGACGAAAAACGAATTTGGAGAGACCATATCAGGAAAATGGTTAGCAAATGTGAGAAAGTTATTAACATTATGAGGAGTCTCTCAGGTAGTGACTGGGGGACAGAAAGGTATACCTTACAGCTGATTTACAGGGCTATGATTAGGCCTATTTTAGATTATGGCAGTGTAGTTTTTGGGAGTGCCTCTAAATCTGTGTTAGAAGTTTTGGATCGTGTGCAGACTAAAGCCCTAAGAATCTGTTGTGGAGCATTCAGAACTACCTCTATCCCAGCATTGCTTGTGGAAATGGGTGAATTTCCTTTAAGAATGAGACGGGAGAAGCTCGGTGTTCAGTATTGGACTAGATTGGCCGGGGCCAGTAATAGTGTAGCAGCAAAATGCCTTTTGGATGAGTGCTGGGAGTTCAGCAAAAAACAGGACAAGGGAGGTTTTATAATGCATGTTGCGAAGGTTGCAGAGAACTTGGGACTGCAGAAGGATAGTGGTGTGGGGTTGGTGTGGTCTCCAGTTCAGGTTTGGAGGTTGCCTGAGCCTGAGGTTTATGTGGATTTACTTGGTATGGATAAAGCGGCTGCTTCCAGGCATGTAAAGATGTATTTAAATGAGCAAAAATATGTTGTCAAAGTTTTCACTGATGGTTCTAAAGAAGAGCAGCCGCAAAGAACGGGTTTTGGAGTTTATATCGCTCAGTTGAAAATTATGCAAAGCGTCCGTATTACAGACGAGCTGTCGATCTTTTCTGCTGAATTATTTGCTATATTGTGGGCACTGTGGTGGATTAAAAAACGCAATGTTTTACAAGCTGTTATTTGCTCTGATTCTGCTGCTGCACTACTGGCCCTTAGGAGTATGGAGTCAGATGCCAGGCCAGATATGTTCTTGGAGATTTTGTGCTGTTTGAAACAAATTGAGGATGTGGGTGCCTCTGTTTCGTTTGTTTGGGTCCCTGGGCATTCAGGGGTGGAGGGAAATGAAAAGGCTGATGCTCTGGCCAAAGAATCACTTCATAGAGACGCTATAGATTATCATCTTCATTTGGGGAAAAAAGAGTGTTACAGCATTAGTAAAAAATATTTTCTAAGTCAGTGGCAGAAAGAGTGGGAGAGGGAGACCAGGGGGAGACTCTATTATTCATGTCAATCATCAGTCCAAAATAGTTGGCAGCCTGTAGCTGAGGGGCGTAGAGAGAGGAAGTGGTTCTCACTAGAATCAGACTGGGGCACTGTGGACTTGCAGCTTCTTTGTATAGAATAAGTAAACATGCAGATGGACTGTGCACTTGTGGGACATTGGAGACTATTTCTCCCATCTTGTTGTCATGCAGCAAATACTCCAAGGAACGACAACAACTATTTGTGGAATTGGCTGATTTGGGACTAACTTCTTTTTCATTTAAGTCAATTTTTTCAAGTCGTGAAAACACTCAAGGAGTTAACAGAGCCATTGTTTTATTCCTCAGCCGCACAGGCACTTTTTTGAGAATTTAGAGTACTGACGGTCTCATAACTGTGGAGGGCAGCATTGCGCACGCCAGCGTACAGCCTGCCGGAATTAATTAGAAGAAGAAGAAGAAGTAGTCAATCAGCTCATGTTCAGGTAGACAGAAAAGATCCACGTTGACACTTTGGCTGGCCATAATAAGGTATTTTGTTGTTTTTGTAGTTGACAATTCAGCCCAATTGTGGTATTAGACATATACATTTGTTTCTGTCTTTATATCGGGAAATAGTTGTGTCTTGCACTGTAGGCTAGCATATGCATGTAGGAGTATACATTCGTAACTTCATAATTAATTGACAAAGGTGTACCTTAAGTTACAGGCATTATGAGTGTGGGCTTTATCGGAGCAGGTCAAGTGGCCCACGCCCTGGTCAGGGGGTTCACTGCTGCAGGTGAGTCCAGCCCCTGGTCCAGCCTTCTCTGTATACAGTCTTCGACAATACGCCTCTATAGGGGACATTGTGTTGTGGATGTGTGTTGATTGCAATCACTTCTGTTCATTTATTCCCAAGGCGTGATTGCTGCCCACAGAATCACCGCCAGCTCTCCAGACACAGATCTTCCAACAGTGCATGACCTCCGGGTGGGTTGACAAAATCAATACATTTCTGGACTACACCGACAAGTTGTTGTTAAAATCAAGATGTTTGTTACCAAAACTAAATTATAAAACTACATTTTCAGAAAATGGGTGTGAATGTCACCATAAGCAACAAAGAAACTGTGAAGAGGAGTGATGTCCTGTTTCTGGCAGTGAAACCTCACATCATTCCCTTTGTGTTAGACGAGATTGGACCTGATATTGAAGAGCGTCATCTCATTGTGTCCTGTGCAGCAGGTGTCACTATCGGCTCAATAGAAAAGGCAAGGATAAGTCCATTATTTTCTTTGTAGACAGTCATTTAAGTATTTCTATGTCCTGGTACAAGCCACATAAAGCAGAATGTTGATTCTCTAACTTCACAATGTTCTCACAATCAGAAGAAGAAAATAATTCAATGATGTGTGTTTTTCAGAAGTTGAAACTGCATACTCCATCTCCAAAGGTTATGCGCTGTATGACCAATACTGCTGTTGTGGTGCGAGAAGGGGCCACAGTCTATGCCACTGGAACTCACGCAGCAGTCGAGGATGGAAAGCTCCTAGAGCAGCTAATGGCCAGTGTGGGCTACTGCACTGAGGTTGAAGAGGATCTGATAGATGCTGTCACAGGCTTGAGTGGCAGTGGTCCAGCCTATGTGAGTCATTTGGACATCACATTTGGACAGCAATTGTTCAAATGTTGCCCTAATTACGATAAACGTTGTTTTGCAGGCGTTTATAGCTGTAGATGCTCTAGCTGATGGCGGGGTGAAAATGGGGCTGCCCAGGAGACTAGCTGTACGACTTGGCGCTCAAGCCTTACTGGTATACACCTTCACATTACAATACTGCAACAACAAAAATATAGAACTATGTTGACCATTCCGTTTGGTGACCATTTTTATCTCATTATGTGCAAACTCCACAATTCAATAATTTATTCATTTCAAAACATAATCAATTCAAATTCGAGTCAGGCGTCTTGTTTATTTTTTGAAGGGAGCTGCTAAAATGCTGCTGGATTCAGAGCAGCATCCTGGGCAGCTCAAGGACAACGTTTGCTCACCAGGGGGAGCCACTATACACGCGCTGCATGTCATGGAGAGCGGAGGTTTCAGAAGCCTTTTGATAAATGCAGTAGAGGCCTCCTGTGTCAGGACAAGGTAAGAATTACTTACTTTTTCAAATCTACAATTCGAAAAAATTGTTTTGTATTTGTGTAATTGCACTTCAAAGAATGAACATTGATTTACCATAGACGGACACAAATTTTAGATTCCACTGTCATTGTGTCCTTAGGCAAGACACTTCACCCACATTGTCTAGAATGAGTCTGATGTTTGCATGAATGGTTGGTGGTGATCAGAGCGGCCAATGGCACATACTGGTTGCCTCACCTCTGTCAGTGTGCCCTAGGGCAACTGTGGCAACAATAGTAGTTTTTCACCAGTGTATTAAGTAAAAGAATAAGGACAATGTGAAGCATCTGTCAGTGTCCAAAAAAGTGCTATATAAAACCGATGCCTTTTAATTTTATTTTTATGAAATAAAACTATGGCTTAGGCTTAGTTGTATGTGCAATGTGATAGACTTTACTAACCACCTATTTAAACTAAAGTCCTTTTATTCCCTTAAAGGGAGCTGCAGTTTTTGGCTGACCAGGAAAAAATCTCCTCAGCTGCCATTAAGAAGACAACACTCAACAAAGTGCTGCAGCAGCCTGGTGTGAGTGTAGATGCTGTTCGATCTCATGGGATCAGTATGTTTGGAAACCCACGACCAAAGAAGATCTGAAAGTGAAAGGTCTGGATATTAAAGTTCAGTTCCTTTTTTAATCATGCAGACAACTTTTACTAATTGTTTTATATGGGTTATTGGGTTGCTGAAAGGATAGGGTATTCTAGAGGATTTATTTTTGAGAATATGTGCATTACGGTGCATTTTATCTACCTCATGTATAACAATAAAAACATTCCAATAGGTTTTGCTGCCAAAGCTTCTGTGGCTCTTGTTTCAGGTATAATTATAGTTATTAGTAAAGAAAATAAAAAATAAATAAAGTAATATTTTTTTGGAATCATTCCCTTTAGGCACCTGGGTTTTTTTCAGAATATTGTTTTGGAACAGACAAAAGGTTATCCACATCTCTTGTGTTGTAAGCGATTGAAAGACTACTGAAATCAGAAACAAATAAAATACAACATATGCAAGACAAATGTAGAGATATGTTTGTGGGAAGCCAGGTCGCTGTATAAAAAGTGTTCAAGATTTCAGGAGCTCATGGAGAAATTCTGCTACTTTGGCACCTAAAGGGTCAATCCAAAGTATAAATGTCCAAGCTTTTGTATGTCAAAATTGTCTAAAAGTAAAATGCATTTTTATTTTTTTTATTTTAGATAGCTGGTGCATTTTGTGTGGCTGAGTTAAACCACTGGACACCTGCCATTGTTCCATCCGTAGCCATAGTCCATTAGACCTCTATTGTGCATGTTGAGTTCATTTTTACACCTTTGTTGCGAGGAAAGATTTACGCTTCATGAATGGAGGCACGTGACCAAACACGATGACGTCTGGCTGCGTTACAAGAGAAAGGAGTCAACAAGGGAAACACGGCTGGCATTTATTTTGGAAACCTCCTATCATCATCAAGCGCCTCAAATGATTCTCCTCGATCGGGGGCTACGGGATAAGAAGAGAAAGTCAACTTGAACCAGGATCAGGACGAACTTGGGTATGCTAGGCTTAAATGTGGGCTTGTTATGCTGAGTGTGCATGCCTTTGCCTTGCCGCTGTCAGGCTGCCTGCTAGCTAACAAGAGGATGTGTCAAGTTAGCCCGGATCTTTACACAGCTGTATTTCAAATTAAGTGGTATTATTCACATTCGACTCTAAAATATCTCCATGTATTATGTGTTCTGTCTGTTCTGGACTGGTTATAAACTGCGAATAACGCGCTACTTACTGCGCGTAATAATCGCGTAAAACCGGAGTCCTCGCCATTACTAAGGCTGATGTTTTCCGGAAATGTATTCAATTGTTTGTAAATTGACTGTGCTGTTACTATGCTGAGATGGCAGCTATTATTTGTGTCAACACGTGAACTTAAAATAATAATACAGATTGCTTTTTGCTATGGGACCAAACGCTGAAAGTGGTGTTTGGTCAGTTGTGGTCACAGAGACGCACGGAGCGGTCTGCATCCAGCTGTAGTGAGGAGTCGGCGAGCGCGGGGATTTCCTCGCGGCTTGTTTTGTAGGAGGGGAGTTGTTTGCCAATTTGACAGCGGCGTGTGATGAGACGAGAGTCGTGGAATGTCAGAAGAGTGTGATTGGGTCAAAATTATATTTAAAAAAAGGTTTGTTGCATGAGTTGTTTCCAGTATTCTTCATATCATTGGTCTTCTCGGGGGCTTGTCAACTCATGCGCCTCTTGCTGTCCAAACCTGCTGCTTCATCACCTCGCTGTGAGAAGGAGAAAGAGCGGGCACAGGCTGTAGCGAAAGCAGGTTGGTTGCAATGTTATGTCCAGTTGTTTTTGCAGGCATGAATGTGGTTGTTTTCTGTTGGCATGACATTTATCTTTTGGAGATTAATTTCAAGTAATGTCTTTCGTGTAGAATTTGTTCACCTGATTTGACAGGTCATTTAACCACTGCTTAAATTAACCGTAGTGCTTTTACTCGGTTCTTTCCTTTCCTGTGAGCGTTCAAAACCGACGTTTTATTTATGAAGCAACAAACAATCGGCCGTATATTTTATCATGCTGAATCATCACTATGATGTATTTAGTCGCTCTCTGAATCCACCCCGAAATATGGCACCACCGGACAAAGGTCTGCTCGATAGATAAGGGTCGATGGTTATCACCGAGCCGCTGTTATTAAGACGATGGATCGAGAGTGTGATGATCTGTCGTGAAGTCATTCAGAGCAGTATGAGCATCAAGTGATGACCACCGTGCATTTATCAATAATCCAGTCTTCATTCAACGGAGGACGCGCATTTTATTGCAGCGCTGTCAAAAATGTACATCAACAAACACGGCAGAACACATCTACACCACAACCACAAGTGCCTTGTGTCAACTTAGTCAAATCAATGTGGCTATAGTGTAGGAATGCATTACAAGCACAATACTGCTCCGAAACTGCCTACCGGTCATAGATAAGTGAGATGCAATTAAGACTATATGCAAAACCTGATCACGAATAACTTCCAGGCATTGTTGAATGTTCTCATTAGTTTGTATTATATTTTAATCCCTTTTTATATTTCATGTTAGTAACCGAAACTTGCTGTGATTAATAACTTGTATGTATGTATTTTATGTAGCCAAAAGTTCAATGATGGTTGAATTGATGTAATTTCCATTGCTTTACAACTGCATATTTTTAACATTTCTCCTTTTTTTAGATTTTTGTCAAATCTTAATGTCGCATCCTCTGTTTTGACAGCAACTTTATGTTATTTATAATGACTTTTTTCTGCCTATCAGACAGCATGCTTATATCAGGCACAAGTAATGAATTATCCATGGACAATCTTTGCAATTTGAGAAGTCACCTTGGAAACTACTGGGTGTTGGCAGCGCTTAACAGATAGAAGTTGCCCATTCTTACTCAGATATTCACCTTATTTCATCATCTCTGTTCTTGTGAGCGGGGCATAGAAGTGTATTTAGCAGACAGGCCGGCCTCGCATCAGGAGCCCAAGCTTTTGCAATACAGCGTAATGCCCAACCCTGCCTTTCTCTGCAGGTAACAAGAACAGATGAAGGCCCTTGTAACATCCGGATGCAGCTGGTAGCGGTGTGTAGACGAAGACTGGGAGTGGTGATCATCTCTGAGATTTATTGCTTCTTGCGTTGAGGCAGGAGTTATAAAATAAGATCTGATGCCAGTGCCACTGAGGTGAAAGTCAGTGCACAACTCCTACCCAGTGGCATTGTGTAGAATGGTCAACCAGTGGAGGGAGGAGAGGGTGTGTGAGGTTGACGAAACATGAGGCAAGAGTTAAGTAGCGAGTGTACAGACTGGCCACAGCTCCAAATAGTGAACGCAGCTGTGCCTTGGGAGTAGTTACGCCTATTCAGGACAATTAATAGCCCGCAGAAAGGAACACAAATGTGGGATTTGTCCACAAAAGTGCTGCTTAAGCTGCACAGGGAAATGGGAATGCCTGGAAGGAAGGGAGAAAAAGATCAATATACTTTTTTTTTTACCCCGTTCTGCATCAGGCAGGGAACGCTGGTGATGAAACCCCTTGCAAGTGTAGTGCGGATTATGATTGCTTAGCGTTGCGATATGCCCGCTGCACCTCTCAAAGTATTTCTCCCATCCAGACAGGACACTGTTTGATGATGAGTTAGATTTGGCATGTCCTTTGTGCGTTCATTTAGATGAGCCAATTCTGAACAGGGGCATTGTTGATTGTTGTTGTTCTTGTAACCTACTTTTTATTAGCACTGATTTATGTGTATGGCATTCCAAGGGTAAATTAAGTAATCACTCAAGTATGCTAAAAATATGGTCACAATAAATTCTTTAAAAAGAAGAAAAACTGCCAAAGAGGACAGCCCCTTGAGTGCAGGAGAGATTGTCATAGTTAAAAACTTTGATGTTCAACTTAATGTAAACAACATCAACCACCACTCGCCTTTTGTCCTATAGTAGAGTTTGTACACTACAAAAGCCACCAGGTCTGTTTACCCTGTATAAGAAAATTATCTTTTTACTCTTCCACTACCCATAACTAAAGAGAACAGTTATGTACTGAGCCATAGTTCTGGGAAACTGTCAAACTTTAATGTCCACAAAATCATCCTTTTAGATAAGGGTATTATCAAAGAGGATGAATAGCTGCTTGATTGTATTAACTTATTTCAATTACAAACTTAAAAAAAAAAAATCAGGTTTGCTATTATGAACTTATCTTTTTCTTATACGTTCTGCAGTGTGCACAATTGCAATGAGTTTAATGTAAATGTTGGACCCCAGGAAGAATAGTGTTTAAAGAAGACTAATTGGGATTCAATAAGTACATATAAGAATTGCCTTCATTTTGATCCAAGCCAAAGCCATGCTGTTTCAAGAATATTGTATACCTACTTTGTCTTACGATATCAAAATTGTTCCTATGTATTCAGCTCTTCACAGCTCTTTTCTTCCAAATGAGCTGTTGTCAGGTCGTTGTTGCACACATTGCTACATGTGCACTGATGTAGTAGAGCTGTTTGTCAGTGTGTGGGCTGCCTACTACCCTTCGTCTCTCAGGGAGCACAAGGCCGACGCATCAAGAGCTGGTTCCCTGCTGAATCAAGTGCTGCAGGCGCTAGTGTTGAGGCCAGCGCTCCTACGGTAGCCCTACCAAAGAGCTTCAATTAGTAAAGCTCAGTTAATCTAAGTCATTGCAATTCCAGGTCTCTTTAAATAAACTTCACATTGACACTGGCATTGGAACAAACGCTATTCCCTGGAGGCAGATGATTCATGTTTTCTCTTAAAACATGAACTTAATGCAAATTTCTACCACAAGTGTGCCACATGCAACTGCAGCATGATTAGTAGTAGACTATGGTATTCCTTTGCTATTATTTTAATGTGAGAACATAGCTAGTCATAGTTAGACATTGACTTACAAAATATATATAGTTGTATTGTACTATTTAACACATTTTCAAAACTTAAATATTTTACTCAACAAAGCACAGTAAGCTTTTTAAGTCTTTGATGAGGCAGTAAACATATTTCCTAAAACTCAAGAATATTGCAATAGATCTAAATGTTTTCATGTTAATCCCAGCCTCAGGTGCAAAAATTGTTTCATGCAATAAGGTGATAGAATATAATACTATTAAATTACTTTTTCACCTTGCTCCAAATAAAATCAGTGGTGATCCAAGTCTAGTGGCTTAGTATATCCCCTCCACTACAAGCGTATCACATTTCTGTGTGAAGGCTGCTGAATGATTTTCTCTCTCCCTCTTTTTGTCACTCTTATTTCACGCTCTGAATACTTACTACCTAATAGCATTCCTCCTCTCTTACCAGCGTACCTTTTAGCCCCATACTGTTGTATTTGTGCACAATTTTCCTCAGCCTTCTCCAGTATCTCCTTTAAGAGAGTCTGATTTTTAATTTGCAGTTAAATGGTGCCCGACACATGCAGCTTGCTTGATAATTGACTTCACTCAGCTGAAGGAAGGAATGATTAGATCTGAATATCCAGGCAATCATTTCAACTCAGAATAAAAGGGAGATTCTAAAAGAACTACTTGATCAAAATAATTTTTGAAGAACAGAAAATAGTAGTGATTTCAACTTTGGTTGAAATTACAAAGGCAAGTGGATAGAACAAAAGGATTATAATGTTTTGTCCAAAATTCAGGACATGTTCATTGTTCCAGCATGGACCTCATGATAATAGGCTACATGTCCTATCAATAATGAATACAGGAAAATTATTATGTGATCAGGAAGACCAGACATCTGTTACGTTCATGTAATTGTGTGTGTAAAAGGATTTTCACTGCAAGAGTTTTCTTTTAAAATGCATCAATGTTTGATATTATGGAGATAAAATATATACAAAAAGTAACTCACAGTTGTTGCTATATGGATGCGATTCTCATACATTTGTATCTAACTAAGCTATTTTCTGTTCTATATATTGATTATATATTCATTTTCAGTGTGATTTTTATGTGTCAAATATATTCATATTCACTTGTGCTAATAATTGCAAGATGCAGATACTAAGCAATGTTAGTTGGGTCTGGTTTTCCACTGAAGTAGGATTGCTGGATGCACCCCATGCTTTTGCCTCCGAACAGCACTGTTGCATCAGCATGCTCCTCCACTGTTGTGTTGTATTCACTTCATTAGCAGCCTGCCAGGGCCAAGTGCTCAGACACATCTTTTCAGGAATTGATCATGACAACTGAAATGTATGTGCACTTGTGTGGTTTGTTAATCTTTGTGTGGATAAATGTGTGTGATTAGTAGTATGATGTGATGTCCCGCACTTTCATGTCTCACTAAATCCTGGGTGCCCTGTTAGTCCTCGCCAGGCAGTCGCGTTTAGTATTCAGGAAGAGGGCCGCTGTCGTAATCTGGATTCTGAGGCAGGTTGCTGGGGCTTTTTGTTTGCTCTCATGGCCCTGATAATCTTGTTACACTGCTGTCAAGTGGATCTGGCTCTCCCCGCGGCCCTGAACCACCAAGCGTGCCACCTCCAGCACCAGACAGCCCCTGCGCTTCCTCCTCCACCCCCACATCCCTATCGCCAACCTATCCTATCCCACTCTACCGCCATTTTGAGACAGCAGTTGATGGAAGAGCCTTGTTCGTATCCTTGAAGAATCACCTCCCGAGCATCTTTATTCTGCCTCCCACCCCCACCTTCAACTGTGAATGACAGTGATAAATATTCATCAGGGGGACTTGGTGCTGGGATGCCAGTGCCTTTCCGTTCTCCAACAACAAAGAGTCCCCGACTAGTTAATGGTGTCCATCCTAGGTTGCCCCCTGGAGGGATCCTGCTGAGAGGATAGGATCATTAAAGCCTGACACCGGCCTTATCGTGTCACATCAGCATTTATCCCACTACTAGAGCCCTCTCTGAGACAACCTAAGCTGACCTCACCACCCCTTCTCCTGTTAAGATGCTAATAAACATGGACAGGTTGAGAAGGTTGGCCAAGTGTCTTGCTTTGTGTCAGTTCAACTTCTCAAGTCCCTAATTGGCACCTTGGTTTTGGTCCTTGCTGACACCAGTGCATTTTTTCTTCAACCTGTTCTCTCCTCAAGCTCCTCTAAATGTGTTGAGTGAGCATATTTGATGAAACTCCCTCCTTCTTGCACCTTCTGTCTATCTCTCTCCCTCTCTTGCCTTTCACCGGGTGACTATACTCAGCATTTTCTGTTTCCTTTGGGTGTGATGTCTCCTCTACACAAGCAAATCAGCTCTGATTTGTCAGCGTTCTCACAAGTAATTCATAAAGATTGATTTAAATATAGAAGACGTCCTCATCCCACTGCTGCACTCTACCTTCAGATCATCCTGCGCTCCGAGCTGACATCCTGCCCCCTTTGATAGGCTACCACCAAGGCTGAAAAGATTAGGATGGTATTAACATTCTTGTAATAAAGGAAAGGGTAAAGCAAAAGGAGTATTATGAATAATGAATAATGATCAAAATAATAAATATTTCCCCATGCTTTATTTATTTGTTTACTTTAAGGACCTTACAATTGCAGCTTCAATAAGATAAAGAAAGTGCAGTCTATTGCCCCTATATTGCCCTTGAATTTTGTTAAAGACATTTTAGTTTGTTGCAAAAAAAAAGGTTGATTTCAGTAGCCTAAATAATCCAATGCCAAACAATAATATTATATTTATTGTATCTAACTCATATCAGTACTGGAAAACAAAATAGGACCAAACCACACACAATCGCATTGCAGTTTCCATATTGAAAAGTCTTGGAGGTACATTTCTTTCTGCCTGGATGTGCGGGCATGCCTTTGTCTCTGAGGTGTGACATGCCGGCTTGAGGAGGGAGCAGCTGTGCATTGGACCTTGTCTGTGTTGTGCTGCCATGCCCTGTCATTGGGAGCCGTCTGTCGGCAGCAGCCTGAGCTGGAGGGCTGCAGTCTGGGCACTCTCCTTCCACATCATCATATGGTGAGCTTTCAATGTGCCAAGCCATGCCTACTGTGAATCCCATACATCTGTAGGACAGCATCCGCCTCCAGAACCTGGGTTGTCTGTCGTTTCTAGATTGTTTTTGAGACTGTGGTGCTTGTGGGAGGATTTTGGTTTTATAAATTTTGCAAAAGTAGCCTTTTGCCTCTCATCTCTGCTGCTATTAGTGGAGTACTTTTCCGCTATTTGTCCATTATCTGTGCCTCATCAGGCAGACCATTATCCCATTATGTTTTGCATCTGTGTTCCAAATGCTGACTGGAAATGAGTCACCACAAAGGCCGGTTAAAGGTGTTACTATCAGTGGGCTATTCATAGCACCCCAACAGGGATGAAGATATCATGTTTAACATGTCCTCTACAAAAGCTGTCTTTATGGAAGTCAAAGAAGAACATTGTAGATTTGTGTGAAGTCCCCTTTAAAGCAAGGCAACATTTCATATTTTTTCAGTCATTGTCTTCATTGTCTTTTCCCATAAGATCCTTTTCACCTGTAGCATCACTTTCACTTTGTTACCATGGATATCGTAACCCTTAAAGTATTTCAGGCAGTAAAAGTGCAAACGGACTGTTTCAGCAAGTCGGTTACAGCACACAAGGATCTGACTTTATGTGATCGAGAAAACTTGAGTGACACAAAAAACAATTGTTAACGATTGATGTTTAACAAAAGGTTTATTTATTTTTGATTTTTGGCGTTTCCTGTGAAACACTAAGAAAACTGTTAAACCGCTAAATAACTCAAATAAAGAAAAATATACTTAGTTGCCATTTCTGTGTATTTATTGGAACTCAACAAAGCGCTCACAAAACAGAGGAAAAGATCAGCTCTGGTCCTGATTTAGCTACATGCTAATTTCCGTCTGGATCATAGAGACAAATGTTGAGCATATTAAAATTAGCTCTTTATAACTGCACCTCTTAAATCTATGTCAGATTCAAATTCAGATTCATTTGCCATTTGCAGTAAAACCACATAGGAAAAACTGTGCAAGACTACCCCGGTGTGCACCAGACAGAGAAGACGACACACACCAGAGCTCTTGTCATTTTAATGAAATAACGCCAAATACAAAAAAACGAAAAGAATATCTTCAAAGTTATCATTTATAACTTCCTGTTACCTACGTGGCAATAAAAATTATTCTGATTCTGATTCTGATAAATTATACATTTCATCATAAGGTATAGTAACAAAACAAAACAAAATTACATTCATCAAGGTCGTAATCAACAATCTTCAAATTATTTTACTATTTGACATCTATTTGTCTCAGAATTGGCTAACTATTTATATTTTTTGATTAGCTTCAGAATAAAGCAATAATTAATCATAGAAGTTAGTGTTTTCCGAATGTTTTCCCACTATGTGTTTGTGATGGAGCCAGCACGCTCCCACATGTGTTTGTTTATATACCCAAGCCCAACATGCTGCTGGGTGTAAAGCAGCTTATGGGGCATTGTGCCGGCTGGGCTCACTGTGATGGAGCCTGTTTTACTGACGCAGCATTTGTGTGGTGTAAGCAGCAGAGCCACAAAGCTCCTGTGTGGTTGTGTATGTGAGATCACGTTCTTATCACCACTCACTTGGGTGCACATTTCCCACTTTTTGGCTGTCCCAGCTCTAGTGGGATAAGTTTCACCTCTGCCCTGAATTTCCTTTGACCCAATGGGCAGCCTGCCGTGGATGGAGCTCAGGCTCAATATCTTTGTATTGATTCAGGGGTTTATAGACACTCAACAGATGTAGTATGTGTGGTTGTCTAGTGTCTAGACCTAATACAAACAGAAAGCCTCTTCTCTGTGTGTTGCATGAGTTAAAGATACAATTGAATATCTTCTTGTATTGTTTTTGCTCATTATTATTCTCATAAATTGCCTTAAACAATTACTCATTTATTATCAAATAGGAATTGTGTAATAATCATTAAATGTGATATTTTGTCAAATGTAAAATATTTTGTTTTCTCATATCTTATTATTTTAAGGCTTCCACTGTCATTGGTGTTCGTTTCCTGTTTAAAGGCACCAATTTCAGTATTTCATTTTGCTGTATCTGTATTCCTTGCACAAGGAACAAATATTTCCTTCACCCAGCTTTATAATAGCAGTTGTCCCACCCTTTGTTCCAAGAAAATTAAAAGTTTACTTTTCCATTTATGCTTTTTATGTGCCTTTTTTCTGTCTTTTCCACAGAGAAATCCGTTGTGCAGGTGGACCCGGTTCTCGTGGCATGACTACCACAAACAAAGGAAACAAGGCCTTGAAGGTAAACATGAGACATTTATAAAATGGTATTGGGTATTGGGTGGCAGCTGTCATTGCCACCCCCCGACCCAGAAATGAACTAATAAAGGGGTAGAAAATGAATAAATTAATGTATATAACCGAAGAGTAAAATAAAGGATTAAAAAAATATATTCATACCCCTTTTCAGACCACTGTGAAGTAAAAGCAACATAACCCCCCTCCAACATATTTCTATCAGCTTTGTACATTTAGGGTAATATTTATCTTTCACATAATTTCTTGAGATATTCTTTCAACACTGGCCGTCTTCTTGCCACTCTTTTTTAAAGACCAGATTTATGTTATGCATGACTAATAGTGGTCCCATGTACAGATTTGAGTGATTTGAGTTTGGCTCCATCTTTGATCACTGCCCTCCTTGTTTGGCCTGTTAGATTTAGGAGATGGTTGTGTCTTGGTAGGTTTTCAGTTGTGCCATACTTTTTGCCTTTCTGGACGATCGGTTGAGAAGTACTAGATGTTTAAAGCTTAGTATATCTGCAGTTTATTGTGCATTAACCTTTTCCACAGCCTAATCCTTTCCTTAATTGGTTTGTTTAATGACCTTATGTAGGGTTTGATTGATTTGGAAACACAGTTTTAATACAATTTTATATTAGAAGAGAACTACTAAAGGTTTAAAAATTTTTTTTTTGTCTGATCCCCCCAAATTGAGAAAAGCCCATAGCAACGCCCTTAGAAATGAAAAAAATTCACAGCCTCTCCTCCCTTGATGACGTCAGAGCGGGTACGTTTGTTGTTTACAATTTGGTCATGACAAGGTGCTGTGATAGTCCAGTGGTAGTGTCATTGCGCTAGCATGCAACCGGGGTTTAATTTTCACCTGAGTCACATTTTCACTCTCAAAACGGCAATATTTGTGTAATGAGCAATTGACACCTGTAGAGTGCAGTATTGTGTCGGAGATCAGTGGAGAGAAGAGAGGATAGGTGAGTATCTGTGGCATAGATCCATGGCTTTCAATGTATGGGCGTTACCCGCTATGACGTCACACACAGGTTAGAAAATAGACTTAAATTCATTAAAAACACATTCTTTTTATAAAATATAGGATTTTTTTTGCCGGAATCTTTTTCAGATCGACATTAATTGATTAACTGTCATGCAATTTTGATATCCACAATTCTTTTTTTTTAAACCCTGCATAAGGTCTTTAAAGGGATCTCTGGTTCACTTGGGACTCAAGTGTGAACATACTCTCTGTCTGGTGACCACTATTCTCTTATCAAACCTCTGAGGCCATCACAGAACAGCTGTAATTATACAGAGAGTAGATTACTCCCTGGTGGGCTCTACTTAAGTAATGGTTTGGTTTATATTCTACCATTCAACAAATGCTTTTGCACACCACACCTAAAAATATTCCATATGATATGGCTTTACTACACTATTGTCTGATGCTTTGTGTTGGACTTTCACATAAAATTTTGATGAATAATTTACTTTCTCAGGTGAAGCGGGAGCCCGGGGAGAATGGCACCAGCTTGACAGACGACGAATTGGTGACTATGTCGGTACGAGAGTTGAACCAGCATCTCCGCGGCCTTACCAAAGAGGAAATTATCCAGTTAAAGCAGCGGAGACGTACTTTAAAGAACCGGGGTTATGCCGCCAGCTGTCGAGTGAAGCGTGTCACCCAAAAAGAGGAACTGGAGAAGCAGAAAGCTCAGCTGCAGCAGGAGGTGGATAAACTGGCAACAGAAAACGCCAGTATGAAGGTGGAGTTGGACGCACTGCGCTCAAAGTACGAAGCCCTCCAGAGTTTTGCCAGGACTGTAGCTCGCAACCCAGTCACCACCAGAGCTCCAATGGCCTCTGTCATTGGGCCACTTATCCCTGGTAAAGTAGCTGCCACCAGCGTCATCACCATTGTCAAGTCCAAAACCGGAGCTAGATCATAGTAGCAGAATGGGTCACACCCTGAGTTATGTGTTTGAATTTGTAACAGGACATTGGATTCGCTATGGGTATTCATAATTGGTTCTTCAAATGGCGCTAAAACTGCTGTTTTTTTTGCTTGATTAAGCAAAAAATATGATTTATGAGTGAAGGTTATTATAGAACTCCTAATATATGCTTTTGTGTTACTCTCTTCTTCATGGAGCCTAAAGCCAGACAAGTTGAGAAAAGTTCAAAACTAGCTTTACTGTAGCTAATCCTTTGACCTGTTACTACCACATACTATATTAAAATAAGTGTTTTCAATATAGATATAGGGTTATTACACACAAACTCGGAAGGGGAGATCCAATCACTAGTTGGTATTGACATTGTGTCTTTAAATCAGCTTGACGAAACCCAAATCTACTCAAATTGTGAAATTGTATTATTTTCTGTCAAGGCGAAAGCGTGAAGCGATGCATCTAAATTCCGTATTTGTTTCTGTTTATGCTTCTGTGACAAATCTTAATGAACTTGTCATTGTCAATATGACTTGTAGATGCAATAATGTATTATGTATGCACTGAAAGTACAAAGAGATCTATAATATTTATGGGAAAAGCGATCAGCAGCGGTTATACAGGATGTTGTTGCAGTGTCATTCCAAGCTTCCTCAACAATATCTGCAAAACCTGAATGTCATACAATACCTTCATATTTTGTGGGTACATTGTAGCCCTCAAATGTTTTGCTCATACTGAATATAATGTTTAAGTTACTTTTGTTTCAAGATATTTATTGCTTTTTTGTAATTACCTTCAAACATTCACAAAAGAAAATGTAACACAAGCTTTACTGTTTGAATTGTCAAGGTGTTAAGGGAACTTTGTCGGATGTGTAGTTTATGTTTTTGTTACAACAAACATTACTTCCGTTGTTTATAGAAATGTACAAAAAAGAAAAAAAAACCCTGTGAATTCTCTTTTTGCAATTGTACCAAAAGTGGCTTAATATTGAAGTCTGATAGCTTTTCTAGTGACTAGGCGCGTACTGTGGGGTAGCGCGTGATGTGATGTGTAAGTTCCAAGTTGGCAGTGTCGTTCACTGTATAGATGTCAAAAAGCTGTGCTATTATAAAACAAATCTGTTGAGCTAAACTAGGTGGTGTAAACAAGGTCAAACGTCTTGTGCATAACAGCATCTGTGATTTCCCTTTGCTTCTTTGGTGTTTGGTACAAACATAACTCATTACAATATCACCATATCAAGCCAGATAAGGCAGAAATCAGGAAATCTGGTTTTTTAAAAAAAGTTCAAACACAATTTTCTTGAAATGGGATTTTCATTTTTAAGTTACTTATTTAATGCTTTCCCTTGGAGGAAAACCATAATAATATATTAAACATTATTTTTTTAGAATAATTATAAAATAATTTCACTTCAACAGCATTGCAAATAGAAGATAAACCGAATGAACTTTTGTGTACTTAACAAGTGGTAGGCATTTATTGAGGGTCTCTTATGCACTAAGCTCCTGCTTGTTTTGCTCAGGACAAACAGGTCATTCTAAATGGAAAAAGCTTTTTAGACAAAAAGCAGGAATGGCAGCTGTTTTTTTTTGGTTAGTGTTTATCTCCCTCTATCTACCGTTAAAAATAGGCATTTCATAAAGGGCTCTTCCAATCAACACAAGATGTACAATGAATCAACAGTAGCTGCCACTGGTACTTTTCTACATCCTTCTATGTCAAGTACAGTCCTCTTTAAAGAAATTAACCTGCAAAGATGCCTTGTATCTCAAGGTGAAAGTATTTGTTGGGTAATGGCGAAACGCTCTTCATCTCCAAGTATGTTGAGCTCATAAATAACACTTCTCATGGCTCTACGCTCCATTGGTTAGTGGCCATACTCTTTCCTCACTACGTGCTTAGCAAACTTGCATTGATTGGTAACTGTTGGAAAATGTATATCTGACTCTACATAGCCCAGTATTGGTGTTGACGTCCGTATTGCTGTGGCAGTTTTGTGGAGTGAATCTTTTTTCTGTGTAAAGTGTCTTTTTACAGGTGTTCTTAAATGACACCGTTTGACCAATCTCTCAGTCTGCGCTAAAGATGGCTGTCTCTCAAACAGGTGTATTGTATGTAGCTACAAGTAGGTATTACTGACCATTGTGAAAAAAGTGACCCTTAATATGCAACTCAGTGGAAAGGTGTGAAAGAGTTGTTGTTAGAGTGATCAATATTGTCAGTGCTTATGGTCTGTTATTTAAAAAGATGTTCTTCTTTTATGGTTTATATGTTTCTTCATGTTTATACTCAACGATACGAGAGCAATTGGCCTGTCCTTACATTACTTGTTCATGTTATATGTGAGAGCAGTTCTAGTGGTTCTACTGCAGCCTTATACCGCGTTTTAAAAGTGAGTTATTATACTCATCAATGAATTAGACCTGGGTCAGGTAGTTTGCAACGATTGTACACTGACTAAATCATTTATACAACTGTTTTTTTTGTTTTTGTATGTCATAAGAGCCATTTCCATTTATCTTTATTTTGGTAGCAGAGGCACATGAGTTTCTATGTTTGTTTCTTGTTACTGATGTTAGTAATATGGGAATACTGAATTTGATTCTAGCACTGTATGCCATAAGATTCTCCTTTTTATCACATTAGGTTTAACTTGGTTCGTTTTTCTGAGGATATATTCATTTATATCTCTTGACATCTACTTTGTCCATGAAATGATGCTTTGTGACAGTTGACTGTGCTGTATTCATGGAGTGGGTCTGTGTTCTGAAGCTATAACAATCTGATGAAAGAAAGTTAATACAACGTTTGGTTTATTGTTTTTATGTATGGGTTGTAATAAATATTGCAGTACTTTGTATCAAAAACAATAGTTAATTGTAAGTATTTATAAATTAAATTATTGTACTTTTGCAATGTAGATAGGTGTATTCATATACAGTCAAAACTGTGGATTTAAATGTGATTCTTTGAGGTGTCTAAGTTATTGATGTACATATTGTATGTTTGTTGATACAGCTTACATTATTTTCTATAAGACTAATAAAATGTTTTGAAAAAGGCTTCATAGCATTATGGCCAGTGTCTGAACACTTTTAATACTACTTAAGTGTAGGTTTGCCTTTTTGTGGTGTCATTGACCCAGTTTGATACTTGTAAAAATAAACTGGCGGGGAAGGCTTTTGCCATTCAGGCTGGGTTTGAAGACAGCGATCATTTAGATGGCACAATTTCTTTTTCTGTGATCCAAAAAAAGCTGTGGGCGACCCACTTTGGCTAACCTCAGTGGACATATTTTTGGCCCGACACGAGTAAAACATTAGAGTCATGAAGGATGTCTAGGTGTGCCTGTCCTAGATTATAAGGAGTAGTGAGTTAGTCATCTTTGCTCCCTGTGGGCCACTGAAGCCCCTTCTGTCTCAGCACACCTCATCAAACATCAGCCTCCTCAGCAGCGCCTCAGCTCTGCACATTCAAAACACCTCTCCAGAGAACAGCCACAGACAAAGAGACAGATGGCTGGAGACACACATCTTACACTCAGTTCTGCAGGGCAAGTCCAACCCCAGCACCACTGCAGACCTGTGCCTCACGCAGCTCTCCTCAGGTGTCTGCCCCAGACAAGGGAAGGCCTCTGAAGACTTGATTAATTTGGTGGGCTAGGTTAAGGTGAGCTGTTGGGCAATCTAGGACAGCATTCTTCATCTTCACCCACTTCTGCAGCAGGTGCCTGCCCCAATTCTGAGACAACAGCTTCTGCACAATTAATGATTCCATTCTCCCCATCAGCAACTGTTGACGAAACCTATAGGACAAGAAACACCATGGCAAATAAATACAACGTTTATAAGTAACAAGGGATGGAAGATAACAATCAGCATAGATTTGTATCAGCATATATATATATATATATATATATATATATATATATATAATCATAACAAATAACAACGTGTATTTGTGTGGTATATTCAGTTAAAGTTATGTTAGGCGTTGGAGGTCTTTACAGTAGTAAAGACCTTTAAACAGTAGTTTGCTTAGCTCTGTAGCTCCCTCTAGTGCCTTATATGCTTTAATACAATTCATGTACATGTCTCAATTGGCCGGATGGATGTATTCTCCAATCCAGTCTATAGGTCACGAGATACATTAGATCTATAGCATTTTCCATATAGTTGAGAATATACATTTCATTGTTGCATGTAGGAGGCCATGACCATTTCAAATAGGCTATTTTAAATGTATGAATCATCACGTACGAGAAAATATAAGTGAAGAAAGATACATTGAATTGGCCTTACCATGGAGAAATTCCACAGTAAGGTACAGTTCAAGATCAGATGTGTGATACGATCTCTTCACCAGGACCAACCAGTATATTTAGCACCTGAACAATCCTCAGACCAGCCCCAGTGTGTGTGTGTGTGTGTGTGTGTGTGTGTGTGTGTGTGTGTGTGTGTGTGTGTGTGTGTGTGTGTGTGTGTGTGTGTGTGTGTGTGTGTGTGTGTGTGTGTGTGTGTGTGTGTGTGTGTGTGTGTGTGTGTGTGTGTGTGTGTGTGTGTGTGTGTGTGTGTGTATGTGCATGTGCGTGTGAGTGTGTATAGGGTCAGGGTGGGCCTGCGTTTACACGGTGCTGCTCCATAGAAAAACTAAATACAAATAATTCTCAGCAGTGTGTCGGCAGATCGACGCAGAGCGTGGTGCGTCAGTGCGTCGGGAGGCGGTGGCGCATCTATAGCCTACTGTAGAGGTGTTAAATCTCCGTGACTCCAACAGGAACGAGGGGGCGAGTTTCCTGAGCGGGCATATTTAGAGCGTTTAGGGCAAATTCACCTGGTGCCTATAATAACTGAAGGAGGATGATTAAAAACGGCCATCACCAGCAGCATCCTGCCAGCGCGGGCACAGACCCAGGCTCTACCCCCGCTGCAGCAGCGTGCAGCCCCGAGAAACGGAGAAGGAAGATCCGAGTGTGGTGTGATGGCTGGTGAGTAGCCTACACCTGATCTGACCTGGTTATCCGATAACAGCACACCACTGCTCGGTTCTTTACAATAAAGTGAAAGAAAGTCCGTCTGTCACGGCACTGGCCTTCTGACCAGGACTATCCCATGAAGACTACTCACCTGCAATGGTCGCAACTATTCTTTTTCAGTCTATAAACACGTCCGATGACTGTTTTTGTACAAACACACATGTCACATCTTCCAGGGAGTCTATTACATAACACTAACCAGGCGCGTTAAGTTAGCTGTGACCCTAGAATCATGAGCTACTGCAAAATAATCTGCCCCGTGAGCGCACTACAAGGACGAACGGGGCAGAATGTAATGGCTGGAATGCACTTATCTATGCAGGATATTCCACGGGCCATTTTTATCGTATTAATACGAAAAAGGGTTATTATATTAATATATTATTCTATCGCCAGATGTAAGTTCCAATAGGCCATATGCTTTCATATTGTATTTTCGACTATGTTGCGTAACGTGGGTCCTGGGGCACACAGGTGAATGACTGCCATTGGAGATTATATGACCAGGATTGTGGCTCTTTTCTTTCGTATAATTCCTGCCAGCTCAGTTTGGCGGCCAGGCTGTGATTAGGAGGAATGTTACAGAATATTTGGGATGCCACAATATTAACCGGTGGGATGAGCATGCAAAGAGTGAGCGCCTATGTCTACAAAGCTTATGACATCAACCCAGCTGCCCACACCTGTCAGTGCTGCTGTGAAGCCATCCACAAACACTAATTAGCACAGTAGTAGTGTGCTTATTCTGTGGTTGAGTACATATGGGTTTAAAGATCACTGTTGATGATGACTGTGTCAAAGTCCGCTTTTATCTGCTGACGAAGTCAACCTACAAGACACAATATTTATAAGTCATGATTCCTACTTGTCCTTTTGAAAATTGTCCTTTTGTTTTCTTAGGTGAACTTTGGGTGTCCGCTAACAGCTTCTACCAATTAATATTTAATCCATGCAGCGTAACACTGTCATGAGCCAATCCCTCTAAAAAATACACGAGGAATAAAGTCACTATAGTCAGTCACCAAGATATCAAGTCTTTTGGAAACACCCATATTTGGTCCCTGTAATTATCATCACAGATGTTTATGCAACACAATAAAGCATATTACTTTTTAAACTGTATTATTTCTGCTCACTATCAGTTTTCATTCAAGCCAATATTCTAATGCTTTGCTTTGCATAAAAAGTGTTTTAATACAAGGAATAGTAAGAGTGTGGACAAGAAGGAAAGGTTTCTGTGTTTCAGTATGTGTAACAAAAAAAGAACGTCATATTTTTTCAGTTTAAAAAAACAGTACAAATAGTCAATCTGTCAGAAATATCAGAGTTACAGTATTTGAGTAGGTGTGAATGCATGTGTGTGTTTTGCGCATATAATTTATACACAACCATTGGGTTTTCTTTTTTTCAAGTTTTATTTGAAAATATCAATTTATAGCGACTGAGAAGGTGATGAGGTGGTCATTTGAATATTAAATAAGTTTCTACTTCTTCCCACTCCCTTTCGTACATGAAACAAGACAATGTGTTATTATTACTTTTGTTTTAATTTCTGCATACTTCTATGTTATAGACAATTGTCTTTGAGTTTCTTGTTTTAGATAAGTTCTGTAACTTGTCATGTACAAACTGAAATTACATTAAATGAATGAGCCATACCTGAGGCTCAAGCATTAACTTAATCGCCTGTACCCTTGCAAAGCTCTTATCTATCTAGATCTAACACATGCTTACGGAGTAAAGTTGGGGCTCATGTGGATTTTCTTTAAAAATATTTGTTTAGGCATTTGCATTTGACTAAACACAATTGTTTTGCATCATCATTTTTCAGCTATGATATGGTACACTACGGCCACTCTAACCAGCTGCGACAAGCCAAAGCTATGGGAGATTACCTCATTGTTGGAGTGCACACTGATAGTAAGATATGTTATTTTATTCATATTATTTGACATGTTTAATGCATGGATTTTAGTTATTTGCAATGATTATCAGGTGGTAACCAAGAGGTTTTATAATGTTTTATGATAATTGATCAGTGGGCCGGTTGTTCTATCGATTAATTGATCTGTTGTTTGTATTCAAAAAGTCAATGAATATGGGATATTTGTACATTTGACCAAAACAAAGGTCAAGTGCTCCAGGATAACATCTTCATAAAGATGATTGCTTTGTTTGACTAAAAATTCTCATTTTGAATTCATTCTGAAGTCATGAATGAATGCAGAATTAGAGTCTTAAAACCTCTTCTCCGCATGTAGCATATGTACGTTTTAAAAAGAAGGATTAATAAATCAGATGGCAACTTTTCTAATACTCCAGTAACTTTTTACAGCCATATTCTCTATTCTCTAGTAGATCTAGTAGATGAAACACTTATGAAATTGTCTTGTAGGTGAAATCGCAAAGCACAAAGGTCCACCCGTGTTCACTCAGGAAGAAAGGTACAAGATGGTGCGTGCAATAAAATGGGTGGATGAGGTGGTAGAAGGAGCACCTTACGTCACAACACTGGGCACACTGGACAAATACAACTGTGATTTCTGTGTACACGGAGGTACTTCCTACTTTATGTAATATTATATAGATACATCATATTTTCAAACCTGTATTAGTGTAAAGATATGTGAAATTGTGTTCTGCAGGTTTGAAATAGTAAATCAATATATATAATATCTCGTGTCTCATATCTCATCTCCATGTCACGTTGTAGATGATATAACTCTGACCGTAGATGGAAAAGACACTTATGAAGAAGTGAAGAAGTCAGGGCGATACAGGTGATGCTTTTTTGTTGAATGCATGAAAAAGAAAATGAACACACTAATGATGCTGGCGGTCATTAATGGTTTGTATGTATTCTATGTATTCCCAGAGAGTGTAAGCGAACGCAGGGAGTTTCCACCACAGACCTGGTGGGAAGAATGCTGCTTATGACCAAAGCACATCACAGCAATATAGTTGGTGTAACTCTAGTTCTCGCTTGTCCACTTGTATCTGCTTAATGCTATAATATCTTGTTTTTTTTCTTGGTTAGGATAGTTCAAATTATCAACAGCATACCAATTTTGGGAAAGTAAGTACACATTTGCCCTGAAACTTTATAAGATAAAAGATAAGAGTACTATAATCAATAATACAAATAAATAGGAGAGACAGGTATATAGAAAGCTCATGTTGTAATTCTTCTGTACTCTTTAACTAATCTTAAATTTTTTTGTTATGTATTGTAGTTGGAGCAGGTTTTGTTCTTTAAAATAAATGCCTTTTAGTAAGTGCATTTCATTTGCAGCTTGTGGAGGTGATGGTGTCAGGATCTACTACCTTTTTCAGTCCCAGTGCTGTATGCTCTTACACAGGTTCAGTTGGAAGGAATTCTGGTGGGGAAAATTAAGCTTAATTTATGAAAATATAAAAGCACCAAAAACACAGTCCCATAAGTCAGTTTACTTCTTTTGAAATAGATCTGTGACTTTATTAGGAGAACTGTTGTGTTTTCTTCTACAGGCGAGTATGAATGCACCCTAAGTGTAGTTCATATGTAGTCATAAAGCGTTTTGACTATTGAAAGCTAATGCTAATATTCATGCAGCACATTTGATACTGAGGGACTCTGTGATTTCTACCCCAACAATATGATGAAGAAGGTGTCCCTGAAGTAGCTAAAGCCATGTTGGTGGATGTCAGCCATTGACAAACAAAGAGCTGTATTGTGGGGCCACTTGATAATCATGCTGCATTGCCCTCCTCTTCCAACTGAAGGCCACTGTTCCTCGGTGAAAATAACAGCCTGCATGCTCAGAGTAAAGAGTTATGAATAGCTTTATTACTGTACATATACAACAAGATACCTTTTGAGTCAACACATAATGTGTTTTATATCAATGTTTGATTATTTGTTTCTAAACAGGGGTCTCGTGTTCATAAGGGACATAGTCCTTGGACAGGAGTATCACAGTTCCTTCAGACCTCTCAGAAGATCATCCAGTTTGCTTCAGGACAAGAGCCTGAGCCTGGGGACACAATCATCTATGTAGCTGGAGCCTTTGACCTATTCCGTATCCTTTTCTCACTTAGAAGTACTGACCTTTGTGAACTCTAACTATTGTTATTAGGTTTTTTCTCTCCCAAAAATAGATCCTTATCTTATCCTGTAACAGACATTGGGCATGTTGACTTTCTGGAAGCTGTGCATAAGCTCTCAGACAGGCCTTATGTTATAGTTGGATTGCACTTTGATCAAGTAAGAGTCTGTCTTCAGTAGTTTATATAATCCATACTGCGGCACCATTTTGACTTGTAGTTCTAATTTCAGGAGGTTAATCGGTATAAGGGTAAAAATTACCCTATCATGAACATCCATGAGAGAACACTCAGCGTCTTGGCATGCCGAGTAAGTGATTTTTGAAACAAACCAAAATTATTATAGACATATGTAACTTTTTGGACATTTTACAGTATGTATCAGAGGTTGTGATTGGTGCACCATTTTCTGTCACAAAGGATTTACTTGAACATTTTAAGGTAAATAGCATTTATAATGTCCTTATTAACAATTATACTAGAATGTAGGATGCTGAGTCATGTGTGACTTATAGGTTGATCTTGTTTGTCACGGAAAGACCCAAATATATCCTGCAAAGGATGGCTCTGATCCTTATGCTGTAAGACACATGCAGTTTATTATCAAAATACACAAATGTATGTGTTCTATATAAAATGAATAATTTTCACCCAGGAACCGAGAAGAGAAGGAATCTTACGCACAGTTGACAGTGGGAACAGCCTCACTACAGATGCAATTGTACAGAGAATAATAAAAAATAGGTAAACTCAAATGAATGTAGGCATGTTTGCTTTATGCACTTGATTATGGAACAGTTTATGGTGTGGAATAGGCAATTTCTTTAACAAACCTTTTTTTAGGTTACTCTTTGAGGCAAGGAACCAGAAGAAAGAAGCCAAAGAGATTGCAGTCATTCAGGCCTTGAAACGACAAGAGGAGGAAAAGAGTAAAGGCAGAGCTGTCAAGACAAAATAAGTGTAAACTCATTCCTTACAAACACATCTATTTGAACTTACAATGGTCAAATGTGTGTTATGAGACACCACTGATAGAAGTTATTACATTTTATAACAGTATCTCGCAGTCTATTATCGCACCAGCAGATGTCTCTGCTGGAAGTGCTTGTCTTTTACTATAATGTACCACATATGCAACGTCTGGTGTCCTGTAGAGTATTAAAAATGTGTTTCACTTGAATCTATCACATAGGCGCTCAGGCCACAAAACAGTAGCTATAGGTTACAGCTATATTTTTGAACAGTATATGACATATTAGAGGCTATTTTTTCAGTTCCGATTATATATTTACTTACTCTGAACTGGAGGTGAGATGGAGGCTTTACAATTGCACCGTGTTATACTGTATTTATATGTACATATGTATTATAACATACTATGCTTGAACCAAGTCTGTTTGGGATATGCAACAGAAGTGAATGAACAGAAGTGGATATGCAACAGAAGTGAATGATTATACACACACACACACACACACACATATATATATATATATGTATATATATATATATATATATATATATATATGTATATATATATATATATATATATATATATATATATATATATATATATTAGTAGTGCACATAGCACATACACTTCCTCAGAATATGGTCCTAATTTCAATAATCAGACAAGAAAATCACGACTCATTGTATTTTATTATCATGAGCAGCACAACGGATAATTTCAATCAAATGGGTTGGACACTATACCATGTTTTCATTCAACTGTCTTTTTGAGTTGTAAAAAAATAATTATGATTCAAATGATTTTTAAGTATATTTTTGGTAGATCATATTTTTCTGGCCTCTTTTCATTGAAAATGTCTTTAAGACTAATAAATGTGTTTTGTGTTTGTATGTATGTCAAATGAGAATGTATTTGTGTTTGTGGCCTGAGGGTGATGAAGAAAAGAATCAACACACTATTGCTGATAAACATAAAAATAAATGTGGAAATTTGCTCTTTTTCATTTGTTTTAAGAAATGTTTTATTACACCTACACTTATGAATTAGTTTATTAGTTAATATATAATTCAAACTCAGTAATAGAATTACCATTATTATTACTACTGTCATTATTATTTATTATATTCGTATTTATTCATTATTGTACCTAACAACAAAAAGCGTCACAGCTGCAGAAGTGCAGATGCCTGTAATTAGGATGACCACGCCCACCACACACTTACTGAGTTTGAGGCCGCCGCGAGGCACAGACAGACGATATGATGCATTGCTGTTTTGATATACTCCCATATTCACTGCGGGTAGACGTTTTCTATTTTTCATGTCACCTAACGATACTGTACATTTTTTTGTGTAAACGATAATTACAGCACTATTGTTCTGCAGCTGTGCATGGGACTGTGCCTCAGACGAAATGTCACTGAGGAGGGAAAAATGGCGAAACAGAAAAGTTCTCAAATAGAGCTGGATCTCGCCAAACAGGCAGAGACCGAAACACATGTTGTGAAAATTCTATTGCTTGGTTAGTGGAGTGACTCAGAAATCATCAGGTAATTTTTAATATATGGTTGATAATAGCTTATATTAATGTCTCTTCATTAGGAACGGCAGAGAGTGGTAAGAGTACGTTGATCAAACAGATAAAGATAATTCACAGTAATGGGTTTTCTAAACAGGAGCTCCTCAGCTTCAAGGTAATAAGTTTGTGGATTTTACAATAGATTAAATGAATTGATCATATGTGCACATCTCGCAGCCTGCAGTGTTTGACAACCTCTTCATGTCAATGAAGATTGTCCTCCGAGGCATGGGGACGCTGAGAATCAATCTAGCCAATAAAACAAACCAGGTGAAGCAAGCACACGGTATGCTGTAACTTTTCCTATGTTTTTAGTTCGTGATTTACACAGCAGATGGCAGTCTTCCCACAGAGTAGTATGGGGTGCCGATTGTAAAAATTCTGTTAAAATTTTTTAGCTGAACATTTTTCTACATTTAGCTCACTTTCCTCACATTTAGCACATTTTCCTCACATTTAAGACATATCTATATCTAAATATTATATCTATATCTAAATGTTAAATGTTATATCTAAATGTTAAATGTTATATCTAAATGTTAAATGTTATATCTAAATGTTATATCTATATCTAAATGTTAAATCTAAATGTTAAATCTAAATGTTAAATCTAAATGTTATATCTATATCTAAATGTTATATCTATATCTAAATGTTATATCTATATCTAAATGTTATATCTATATTTAAATGTTATATCTATATCTAAATGTTATATCTATATCTAAATGTTATATCTATATCTAAATATTATATCTATATCTAAATGTTAAATGTTATATCTAAATGTTAAATGTTATATCTAAATATTATATCTATATCTAAATGTTATATCTAAATGTTAAATCTAAATGTTAAATCTAAATGTTAAATCTAAATGTTAAATCTAAATGTGTCGCCAAGTGTAAAGCTAAATATATAGAAACCACGCCCACTGCAGTGGCTTCAAATCCAGTGGGCCCGCCTTCCGTGCCGTGTGGTGAGTGGGGGCGGTGCCGCGTGTTTTGAACATAGGAATACACGTGGACCGACGTCACGGCTCAAGGCATGTTGGGTCTCCGGCGCCATCGTCCTTGGCCACGGCACAAAATTAGCATTTTTGTGAAGATTCTTGCTTATTTGCTGGAGCCAGAGTGTATTCACTGTAAACTAAGCCACGTGGAGTCCCGTGAGATTCTTGTGTAATCCTGTAGGGTTCTCACCACACGTGTGTGTCACTTGGAGCTTATAGAAAACCAAAGTGAAAAAGTGTATTTTACATGAGACATGTACATTTGCTTCTCAGGCAGGGATACGTTGGTTTAAAAGTGTTTTTTGATTTAAACATTTTAACTTATGTCTTGTTGGTGCTTATTAATATCTATGGTGTATGTATGCTGTGCTTCAGGTGCATGCCCGTTCCATCCTATCGTGCAGCCAGTGTGTGGGTGAGGACCAGGAGCTGCTCCCCGTCGTGGCCCACGCCTTCTGTGCTCTTTGGTCTGACCATGGAGTCCGCACCGCTGCAGCCAGGGGTTATGAGTTTGAGCTGAACGACTCTGCTGTCTAGTGAGTAGTATGACCACACTAGATATAAAAATGGTGTTAGCCCTGCCTTAGTCAATTATTATTTCCCTACGTGTACAAAATGAAAATTGTACAATGGTGTGGTAAGGCCAGGGTACAATTGTGAACCAAGTGACACAAAGGGCCAAGAGTTGCATCAAGTTTATTTGCAATGGGTAGTATGATTAAACCATGTAAACAACTGCTTTTGTCTTATGTGCCATATATGGGCAATAATTCCATACAAAGTGATTACAAATGTATGTCACTCGCCTTTTTAATGAATACCTCACCCCACAGCCATAAAATGAAAGTCCTCACTGTTGGTCCATTTTCCAGCAAATCTTACTGGTGGTAGGATTATATTCAGTATTTTGCTGATTGTTGAACACAGGCCATTTACTGCCCAGTGGAAAATTGGTTTGTGAGTTGCAGATCTCCTTTAGTCTACAGGGAGGGAGGACTAATGTATAAAAGTAAATTAAAACATCTCCAAACCTTTTAATAATGTGAATTATTTACTTGTGCAATAGAACAATATGATCTTCCTACTTCTCCCAGATTAAGACATTCTTGATTTATCATGTCCACAAGGCAAAGATGACTATTCTTCAGTTCTTCTGTTGACATTCCCAGTGTTTCTTTCGTTGTCAGGTCACAGTATGGAGCTATAGAGCGTACAATTTCCGTCCCAAATTATTGGATTGAACTCTTACCACAGATCTATGCATTGCATTATGTTCCAGTTTTATTTACATTATTCTATTTCCTGTGTTTTAGCTTTTTTGAGAGTTTGAGCAGAATCATCTCTCCCAACTACATTCCATCTGAGTCTGACGTTTTAAGAGTGAGAGTGAGAACTTCTGGGATAATGGAAACACAATTTAAAGTTCAAGATTATGTTTTTCGGTAAGATTATTTGCATTGGTGTATATGGTAAGTTTCTCCACTTCCTGGGGTTTGGGGAGTGTGCGTCACTGACTGTAAAGGCTTTCTCGTAACTGCGGCAACCTCGGGCGCTGCAACTTATAAAATATGAATTTACTTTCTCATGAATATCATATCCTATATTTATTCTTACTGTACTCCAGATATGGTTTGCAGTTTCCTGGTTTCTGTAAATTATTAATGGTTAAAATGTGTGTGTTTAAACTGCAAGACAGTTTTAATGCTCGCATGCAAGTAAAAAGTTTCAAATTCATGCGTTGACGTTTGAAAGCAAAAAGATTGACAGGATTTGGTATTTTATTTTAAAATATATTTTATTTATTTATTTTTGTTCCGTTACAGGGAATTTACACAGCAGGCGTAAACAGCGCGTACGCGTTTACTGCGCGCTCTCTGCGCGTAACATTTTTTTGGAGTATCTACACAGGCCGTGCGCGCAGGTCCGCGGCTTCTGATGCTGTCCCTGTGTAGTCTATGGAGCAGTGTAGAGGACAGTACAGAGGACTGATGTAGAGCAACACAAATCACATGCATGTGTTTGTCCTCATGGTCTCTGTGCGCTGGTTTGGCCAGACGCTAGACTTTATGAAAGAAAAAAAAACGATGTCCAGAATCACTGTAAAACCTGCTGCTCCTCCTGCTGATGTTTAGACACAAGTCCTGTGTGTGTGCAGATGTGATCTAAAGCCAAGGACCGCTAGAAAAATCATGTTTTACATGAGATTTCAATGGGAGACGCGTTGGTGCGCGCACAAAATTAGAAATCCATCCAAAATTAGAGCGCAGCTTCGCGTCATACGTGCGTATAACGCTAGAAGTGTAAATATCATCATAGGTTAACATGGAAAAAAGTTACGCGCGTCTGCTGCGCGTATAACGCGTACGTGCTGTAACGCGTGATGTGTAAATTAGCAGTTAGTGCTTCTCCATGCAACATTTAATTAGTTTGTCAATCTCTCAGCGTGGAGCCATTTAAGTAAACCTATTTACTCAATGTAGTTTTTTTTAATTTAATTTGGTCTCTAGAAAATTAAAGGCTTTTATGCCCAGTTAAAATGGCCTGGGTATAATAATAATAATGCATCGGTTTTATATAGCGCTTTTCTGGATACTCAAAGACGCTTCTTCTGCCAAAAGTTATGTCAAAGCAAGTCGTTCGTTTAACATGATGGCAGTCTTGTAAAGATCCAGTTTCAAAATGTGTTTATTATAATTAAACATTTCATAATCGCTCATTTCAAAAAACCTTAAGTATATCTTAATCTCCATTATGTGTTTTTGTTTTTGTTTTTTACAATCTCCAATTAATGTTCTTCAGTTTCCATCCACCTGAAGCCACCTTCGACTGTTGTGTCCTTAGTCTGCAATTTGATTTTCTCTGTAATAAGTCCTTCAGGAACTCCAGTAGTGTTTCTGGTGTTCAGCTGAAAAGACTTTTGGACGTTTGTGATCGTCTCTCAGCAGGAGACATGTTTATTGGTGCTGATGCAAACTGTCATTTTTCACAACATGGAGATAATTTTATATCCAGGTAAAATACAACTGCTCATCATGATATCTGCCATATCACCAATTTGTTTGTGGAAAAACACTTATGTTTTAAGTGATTTAAAGATGAAGTGTTTTAAATCACAGGAATAGGATTATATAAAGTTTATTTAGAAAATTCTCACTGAAAAAAAGGCACTGGATTGTATACTCAAAGTTGTATACTATTAAAATCTCGGGAGGGGGATGCTATTCACCAGCACTACTGTGGCTGTTACAAGCAGTTTACCTCTTCTGGGGGTGTTTAGAGGTAAGAAATCTCACTTTTCTTGGAATGATCTAGCCTGGCCATAGCCATCCGTACACTCCGCTCAATCATACAGTAATTTCACTGCATGTAACGTCTGGGTCTGGTCCCTATGTCAGGGAATACAATCGGTCGTATTTCAACCGGCTACTCAGAGAGCGCGGGAGGCGGGTGCTGTAGGTCGGTGCCGGTGACGTCAAGAGTTTGCGCCGAACAGGCAGGTTGTAGTTTGGCAATGACGAAGAATGCGATAGTAAAGTAATCCAGTCTGGTTCTATCAAGAAATTGAAGCAGGAGCAAGAGGAATGTTTAGCAAATGTAATCGCTGGTAAAAAATGTGGCGCTACTCCCCACGGGCTCCGTTAGCGGAAAAGATGGCTAAAGCTAGGCTAAATGCTAACAGACTCGGGCGCATTACATACGTCACGGTAAACTCGGATCCAATCATTTCAATCTGCAAAAGGTGTTAACCCCTCCCACCTGTAAACGGAGCTCAATAGAGCAAATCCAGACCTTAGTATGAAATGTAATTTGTACTAAGGTGTGGTACAACCAGGCTAGGAATGACCCTCATTTGTTGTTTTTATATTTGAGAATTGTTCAAATATGATGCCGCCTTATAACTATATTGTATTCTATCATTTTTTATTGCACCAAAATACCGGCAAGCAAATACCTAGTTTGCTTGCTGGCAAATGGCAAAAAAAAAGATTCTGTGTGGTGTGATCTAGGGAAGGCCCTTGTGTGTATCAAGGGGGACTGGAGCGAGAGAGACCACACTTCATACAATACTTAGCCTGGTCTTTTGGCTGTGGAACACTGCTCAGTACTCTTTCCAATGCCTGTGGGTTAATGGGAGATTCCCCAACCAGTCCTAAATGGCTTAGTAGCTTCAAAGCAAAGTAGTTGTCAAATGTGTACTTGTCCTTGATGTATTTGGGGCGCTCCAGGTGGCAGGGGCCTGTGCTAAAATTATGAACTTGGATAATGCTGGCAATTACAACCAATCTCTGTATTCCAACCTGTAAACACAGCACAGATGTGGGCTGCTGGTGACAATTTTAGTTTGACATCAGAGAATAGGCTGTCAAATGCCACGCTCAACACTCCAGTCATCAAGCTGGTTAGAGCAAACTCCTGACTCTGGGGATAAAAGCTTTAATGCCTCTGACATGACTACTGTAATCTCCTGGCCCCATTGGGAACTTGTTACCTGTGTCGCCAAGACCCGCCGCTCTTGTGAGCAGGGTATAGGCCATATGTTATCGTTTTCCCTTTTCTCCTTCCTTGGTTTTTATCTTCTTTAGAGTTGAGTTTATACGAGTTGGTGATTAAAAATGTTATGTTGCAGATTGTATGATGTTGGTGCACAGAGAAGTGGGCGAAAAAAATGGCTCAACTGTTTTGACTGCATTGATGCCATTGTATTTGTTGTGGCTTTAAACGGCTATGATGGCACTCATACACAAGAAATAACGGTACGTTACCAAAAAAAAAAAGTCTTATTCTTATTTTTAATGCTTTTTCAATCACAGAAGTTGCAGGAGAGTCTGGAACTTTTCACATCCATCTGCAATAATGGTATCTTTACCAATACGTCATTGGTAAGTAATGCAGCCTTGAAGCTACTTACAGTAATACCACAAACAAAAACCATAATAAAATCCCTGTCCCTTGTTCCTGGCTCTAGATCAGTTTGGGTGGTTATCTACTCTCATGTATTTTAGGCCTCAGTCACATAGAGCGACATTTATGTGTAAAAAGTGATAGTACCACTCTCTCCATGCCAATCAGTTCTCCGTCCAAAGTGTCAAATAGTGACTCACTCCTAAACCCAGAATGTTTTAGTCTGACATTTTGCTTTTAAGACTAACTTTATTGAAAGTATACCAGCTTTAAAGTTCTTATCTACATATTACTTTGTTCTGATCAAGCACAATTTAAATGTATTTAGATTTTGTTCATGAACAAAACAGATCTTTTCCGAGAAAAGATTTTAAACTCTGGAAGACACCTAAAATTGTACCTGCCTTCATTTTCAGGTGAGCCAAACAATATTCTAATCATTTTTAATACAGATAAACTTAAGCAGTTAATTGTTCTAAAATCTAGTAATGAAGAACAGCCTTCAAGTTTCACTTTGAAATCATTTTATTGCATGATTTATTTATTTTGTTTGTATTATCAGGAGCAGATTGTGATGTGGATGCTGCAGCCAACTACATCACTTCCATGTTTTCATCACTGAACACTAATCCCAAAAAGCCAGTGTATTATCACTACACAACTGCGACAGATAGTGACACTATGCGTGTGGTCTTCCAGATGCTCTCGGAACAGATTTTAATGGTTAATGTTGCTGCCACTCGGGTGCAGTAGGTTGATCTTTTTCTTTCACCTTTTTATGTGATGTCAATATTTTAATAAAACATTTTTTTAAATCTGGCTTCCTTCCTAATCATCCACCACGACACATGAATTACCTGTACTTATACATTGTGTTAAATACCTCCTGCATTTAATCATGTTTGTATGGCCGTGCAACCTGTAATGGTTTAACCTTCTTTAAAAAGTAAGAAATTGGCTTAAATGACCTTTGAGTGAATTGAGTATGTTGTGTTTGTGACATGGCTTTCTCATTCCAATGATATTCCAGCCAAAAAAACACATTAAGATGAACTACCAGCACTTAATTTTCTAACTTGGGTCAATAAGGCATTTTGCGCAAAGTGTTTTGCATCAATAAAGTTGCTATATACATTAAAAGAAAACGTTTAAGTTTACACAAGAATATTACATTTAATAACAAATTCAAAAAGTATTTCCGAGCAACTATTTTATAAACCTTGAGTTATCTTCTGTCTCTCCACGTGTAGATCAGCACCCCGGGGTGCGCGCTAGTCTCCAGCCGCTGCACAGTCCGCGGAGTCCAGGGAGAGGAAGACTTCGGCAGAGCACTTAAACGAGCCTTTGAGCCTCTCAGGGAACAGTTCACAACTCTGCAGGATTGGTGTAATTTCTTTGATGCAAACAGACTGTATGAAAAACACATGTTTAAGAAACCTGACTGAGGTTCATGCCTATAACTTCAGGTTTAACTTTGAAAGTACAAATTGACTGACCATGGTCTTCAGGAAAAAACTTCTTGACGTAAGTTCAGAGAGCACGTTCTGTGCGCTCTCTGTCGGCTGCGTCTCTCCTCTCTTTGCGTATGGAGACCTCCGGATCCCGGACAACAAGCCAGATGCCCTGCCCACAGAGTAGTAGCTCGGTCCTCCAGCCATCTGTTTGTACCAGCCCTCCGAGGGACTGCATGCCAGCAGCAGGAAGAACAGCGTGATGCCGCAGATGAGTTTGACGGACATCTCCATGGCGCAGAGACTGGAGTCCTGTTGGCGCGGCGCAGACCACCGACACTTATAGGTGAGCGGCGTCATAGTCTTCGTCAGAATGATGACTGCTTTCACAAGTCCCAAGTTTGAATAGGCCTACACCAATATGAAGCCGATGTGGGAACAGGGCACTTTCTATACAACTATTTGTTTGCTCCGTTACAATCTTATTAGAAGTCAACTCGACGTTACAATTGAAATCACTGAAAATGTATTTAAGGAGAGGTCTAGGTACATGTGGGACATGTCATCATTTTAACATAACTTGTTTTTATTTTTTTAAAGACATCTGTTGCATAAAACAAATCATGCAACATATTTGGGTACACATGACAGGACATACTTTTGACTTTTGGGGTGCTTTTCGGTGTGGTAAAGAGTGACGAAACTAATTGTGGAATCCTCTATGTTGTGTTTGCAGCGTTCTCTTGTGCATTTCCTTCAACAGACATGGTTAAAGAGGCACCGACACGTATGATCTTTCTGTCACTTAATTTGCAAAGTGAAGAGCGCACATCCGTGCTGTAAGTTTCGCGCTTCTCTCAATAAAATCGGCAACAGGAAGTTAAAGGCATAGAACACTTTTAACAGGAAGTGCCAAAAATAAAATAAGTGCTCTTCAATATAAAACATACACTGACAACAATTCAAAGTGCATTACATAACACAAAACAATTACAGTTATGAGAACACTGATTTTAACACCCCCCCTTGTTCTCACGTTGTTTACCCCGAGCCAAAGAACCATTTTTGGAATCTGAGAATTCTTGCTCTTGTAACAGGTTTTGTTAATATGTCTGCTGCCATATCTTCTGATGGACTTAATCTTTCCCTCATTTAAAGCCTCTCGAATAAAGTGGTACTTTATATCTATGCGTTTTGATCGCTGTCTGTTAACTGGGTTTTTCACCAAAGCAAGTGCTCCTTGATTGTCGCCATATAATTTGGTACAAGTGTAAAGCTTACTGTCCATTCCATTTAACAGTTGTGTTAAGTACATGCTTTCTTGTGTAGCAGCAGTGAGCGCTATGTACTCTGCTTCACATGTTGACAATGTAACTGTTGGCTGTTTCTTTGACTTCCAAGAGATCACTGGACCTTGTTTTGTAAGTGAGAAACAGTACCCTGACGTACTACGTCTGTCGGATACTGAGGATGCCCAGTCAGAATCACTAAATGCCACAAGATTTAGTTCTTCATATTTTTCTTAAAGATCAGCTCGTCATCATTTGTGCCTTTGAGGTATCTTAGGACATGTTTTGCCATCACTAAATCCTCTCTCTTTGGTTGTGCTAATGTTTGTGAGAGTTTGCTTACAACCCAGCTAATATCTGGTGCAAGTCATTGCATAGATAAGACTGCCCACAATCTCTCTGTACTCTCTTTGGTTGACAGGCTCATTTTTGTCATTTTCTGTAGTTGTGTCAATATCAGTTTTTAACTCACAAGGTGTAGACCTGGGTTTACACTCAGACATGCCAAAACGTTCAAGGATTTTCTCTATGTACTTTTTCTGATTCATTGTTATCTCACTTTCTTTCTGCTCAAATTGCATCCCAAGAAAATAAGAGATTTTTCCCAAGTCTTTCATGTTGAATTTGGACCTCATTGTTTCTTTGAATGCTCTTAATGTGTCAAGATTGCTGGCACCAATTATCAGGTCATCTACCCAAATGATGACAAGTACAGTTTCGTTTTCTATGCATTTTTCTATGCAACACAATGATCAGAAGGATTTCTCTCAAATCCATTTTGTTCCAAGTAGTCATGTAAAAGTTTGTACCAGTTTCGACCGGATTGCTTTAGTCCATAAAGGGATTTTCTCAATTTGTACACCAAGTTCTTTCCTGACCCTGTTTGTTCAAAACCCTCAGGCTGATCCATGAATATTTCTTCCTCTATGGGAGCATGTAAATATGCTGTCTTGACATCCATTTGGTGAACAATGAGCTCGTTTTGTACTGCTATTTGCATAAGAGCACGCACCGATGTAATATTAGCGGTTGGTGCAAATGTTTCATGGTAGTCAATTCCTTCAGTTTGGCTATATCCTTTTGCTACAGATGCTAAAGATTTTTACCTGTTCATTTTCTTTAAGTGCGTATACCCATTTTCCACCTACAGTGCTTCTTCCTTCAGGTAATGTAGTCAGTTCAAATGTTCCATTTTCTTTGAGAGAGTCCATCTCTTCTGCCATTGCTTGCTCCCACCTGTGGGCCTCCTGTGACAGCAGGGCCTCTTTAAAGGTTTGGGGGATCCCACATGTTGCCCTGTAACAATAATCAACACTTAGAGAGGTTACAGGCTCATCTATACAGTTTGACGTGTAATCCTCCAGGTACTTTGGAGGTTTTGTTTCTCTTTTTGGATAGCGTCTTTGTTGACTTTGTTCTTCAGTCTCTTCTGTGTCTGCACTGTGACAGTTTGGGTCACCTGCAATTTCCTCATGTTCCTGCAGTGCGTCACCTTCAGGAGCAAGCATGGGTCTTTTCTCAGTTGTTTTGTAGACGTGCATTTGCAATTCTGCATCACTTTCTTCAGTCTGTGTTTCTTGTTCAACGTGTTCTGTTGTCCCTGCTTTAATAAATTTGACTAACCTGTGTTTTGAAACTTTTCCTGTGTGTGAGTTATATACTAGATATGCAGGGCTTTTTTTACTATACCCTATGAATATTCTCTTTTCACACCTGGGATCAAGTTTCTTATGATCATGAATGTATGCGTAGCACTCAGATCCAAATATCCACAGTTTGGACAGATCTGGTCTTTTGTCCGTGAGCCTCTCATATGGTGTACTTTTAGTTCTGTTATTGTAACACCTATTTCGAGTATGAGCAGCATTTTGTATGGCGTAAGGCCACAGTGATTTTGGTAACCCTCTTTCTAACAACAGGCACCTCCCCATCTCAAAGAGTGTTCTCCATTGTCTCTCAGCTGTGCCATTTTGATGAGGAGAATATGGCTCAGAAGTTTCATGTTTTATACCCCTTTCTCTTAATAATTGCTGAAAGGAGTTACTGGTAAATTCAGTGCCATTATCTGATCTAATGCACTTGACATGGCCATAGGGTGCACTGTCCGCTAGGAACATTTCTGTTGCAGCTGTGGCTTCATTCTTGTGTTTGAGGAAATAGACTGACACTGCCCCTGAAAAATCGTCTGTGAAGAGTATAGCATACTTATGACCACTGTGACCATTGGGATCAATGGGGCCTGCTAAATCTGTATGCACTAATTCTAAGGGCGCATTTGCTTTTGGGTCACATTTCCTATTTCTGTCATTTGTGAATTTCCCTTCTGTGCAAACGTTACATTCTAGTTTTGTATTACCTGTGATTTTCATTCCCTCTACAACACATGTGTCAAAGTCAAGGCCCGCGGGCCAAATCCGGCCCGCGAATGAATTATCTATGGCCCCCGGGACATTGCCTGCCATTGAGGTATTGTATTGAACCCTTAAGCTCGCTAGCCCCCGCCGGCGGGAGCAAACGAGGAAAAAAATACTTCTGCTGGCAATAGCAGATGTATTTTGAACTTCATAAGCCACAAGCTATATATCATTTTAAAGCTTATCTTCTCAGCTATATTTATATGTAAGTGTAAATGATATCAGACTTTGCATTAAAAAGATATAACGCATAATATGGGCACAAAATAAATCACGTCTGTATTTGGTTTTTTTACCTTTCATCTTCTGCTGCTCCAACAAATTATACTTTCCCCATCCTTGCTCAGTCGCTTTCTCTGCGTAACTGTCTATTGAAGAAGAATATCCACTAATCCATTCTGCAGATTTAATCAAAAAACGCCCCGAAAAGAGGTCCAGACTGCTCTTTTACATTTCACCAAGTTTGAGCTTTTTCTTTTTTACTATTTTCATGTTCTCAGATGTCTATTACATCTAATATGTACAGTATGAGGATTGGCTTTAGAGCATATTTTATCGAGCCAACAGGTGTCACCGGCACTGCCTCTGGATGTTGAGAAACATTGAACCAGTCCGGCCCTCGGCGCGTAGCAAACATTTTTTTTTGGCCCTCTGATGTATTTGACTTTGACATGCCTGCTCTACAACATCTGGTAACTTGCAAATGTCGTTAACATTACAGTGGCCTAAGATCTTGTGCCATGTTTTCACATCACATGTCAGATTTACACTGTCACAAGAACCCATGTCCTGAAATGAAGAGTCATTGTTTACCGTTTTCAAGTATAAGTCGATTGTATTCTTCAATGCTGAATGCATTTCCATCTTTGTTGATGAGTTGGTTGTGCCCTTTCTTGAACACTACCTGGGCTCCGAAGGCAGTAGCTGCTTTTACAGAGAATATGCTCTGTGGATAGGATGGGATGAAGAGGGCATCCTTCAGAGTGACGTTGATCCAGTTGCCCTGCTCGTCCTGTAGAGCAACACTGGCGTCCCCCCTCTTTAGTGCCACATTGTTTGTCCTGGATCCATCGGCGAGTTCCATGTAGTGTTTCTCAGGGTCAAATGTCTTATCAAACTCCATGAACTTATTCTTTTCAGTAATAATGTGTGATGTGGCTCCACAATCCACCATTAGTCTTTCTTTCATTATGTCTGTGGGTGAAAGTCTATTACTGACTTTAAACAAAAAAGTTTGTTCTTCTTTCTTGTCTTCTTGTCTCTCCGCTATTTGTTTAGCATCATCTTTGCTTTTATTCTTCCTCCTACATGTCTCATCACTATGTGTAGAACTTCGATGGTAGGTGCACCACTTTGGGGCAGCCTTTTGGGGGCAGTCTTTGGCAATGTGCCCGCGGTTTCCACATCCATAACACGTAACTGATGTTATGTTGACTTTCATAACATTATCTACTTTTGGTTTATTTTCAAACCTCTCTGTCTCTTCGTAGCTCCGTAGGTTACTCTTGAACTGCGTGAATGTAATGTCTTCTTTGCTTTGTGCTGTATGAATGGCAAATGGCTTGTATGCTTCTGGAAGTCCTTTTAGAAGACCGTCGCTGATGACTTCATTTGCATTTCTTAGTGCTGTTACGGACTTTTCAGCGCGTATTATGTA